GAGGCATGTGGTGTCAGGGATCAAATCCAATACTCTGTGCTTGCCTAAGCAGGCACTTAGTCTGCTGAGCTATCTTACTGGTTCTCTTACCTACTTTAATAAGATGGCTTACCAGCATCTCACAAAGATTCCTGTTTTTTCATGTTTATTGCCATTAGATATTACTCAGTTATACATGATTTTTTCCCCCCCCCAGAATCAGGGATTGAACTCAGGTCTTTGTGCTTGCCAGGGACGTGCTTATTCTCCTGAGCCATCTCCGAGGCCCACATGATTTTTCTATAATTTTGAAGTGCTATTTCTTGCATTTCTAATGGTGAGGTTGAGTCTTTCCTCATGTGTTTTAGGCATGTGAATTTTCAAGTTATTAGTTACTTTCTTCAACTTCTGTAAAGCTTTTCATATTTTATATTTATTTTTATGGTTTAGGTGATGCTAGACAACCACTTTACTACTGAGCCACATCCCCAGCCCTCATATTTAAGTATTATCTTTGTGAAGTTTTGGGTCATGATGTCTTTTTCCCCAGGCCCCTCCCCCCATAGCTATTCTTTGAACTAGGGTAAATCTGCTAATTTTGTGCATGTGAGAGAGTTTTTGTAGCTTTGCACTTTAGGTCTGTAATCTGTTTGAAGTTTGTCATATAATGATAGGTAGAGATACAACTACTGGCAAGGTAGTAAGTTTTCCTAACACCATCTACTAAAGAATCTCTTTGCCACTGCTTTGAAATCTCCTGTGTCCTGCCAAATTCTTTTTTTTTTTTTTTTTGGCAGAACTGGGGATTGAACTCAGACCCTTGCACTTGCCAGGGAAGCACTTATTCTACAGAGCCATCTCCCTGCACCCCCAAATTCTTGTTCTTACATCTTTTGTTAGTTAATTTTTGTGTTAGCCTCAGTCTGTCTTTATTACTTTGACTTTGTGTCATGTGTCTTTTATCTGGGAGGGAAAAGTCTTGGATGGTGACATATATTTTTGCTATTGGTTTCTCGTATCTGTAACTGCTTTATTAAGAAAAAATTCACGTACTGTAGAGTTCGCCCATTTAAAATGCATAGTCTAACGCATTTTGTTTATTCATTCAATTAAACAGAACTTTCTTGGTAAAATAATTGTTTGTTTTTGAGAACATACCAAACTTTTCGAGAGTTGAGGCACCAATTTTCTATCAACAGTGAGTGCTCTTAATTTTCCATATTCTAACCACCCCTGATCACTTACCTTTTTTTATTGTAGGTATTGCTACTAAAAAGTGAACAATTCTTGTTCTCTAATAAGTAATCTCAGGCCAGCAAGAAGGTCCTGAGTTTGATCCCTGGTACCACCACCAAAAAAAAAAAAAAAAAAAAAAAAATCTTTCTTTCGTAGAAAACTTTGGGGTCTTTGTTTCCATTGTTTTGAATTTTTACCACAAAGCCTCCACTGTGAGTTTTCCCATATTGGCACCTTTTGAGCTATGTCAATTTGAATTGTTATTTTTAATTCTAAGAAATTCTTTGCCTTTATTTTCACCTCTGTATTTTCCTGAGATAAGTTTGTAATGGATATTGCTCTTTTTTTACTTTTAACTTCCTTATGTGTTACATTTTCTTTGCTGTTTTCTTAATCTTCATCACCTCCTCCAAAATTGCATATTTGAATTTTCAACCTGATCTTTAAGGATTTATTATAATTTATTTTAAATCCCTATTATGTCTGGTCCACATTTTTCCTGTTTATATAAATTGCTGAATTTGTTGTTTCTTTTATGGCTTTCTTACACTCCCAAGTGTTTTATTTTTCCCCTAGTAATAGTCATTGCCTTTCTTTTTACGAGTGTGTGTGAATAACTAGTAAATGGTATTTTCATTCCAATGACTTTTCATTTTTATTTGATTTATTTACTTATTTATTTTGGCAGAACTGGGGATTGAACTCAGACCCTTGCACTTGCCAGGCAAGTGCTTATTCTATTGAGCCATCTCCCCGGCCCCTTGATGACTTTTTAAATTAAATTTAATAATTAGCTAAATTTAACAAACTATTTTTAGTGATTGTTTTTTTAGATCAAGAAAATAAAAATGTTTTCCCTCAGTAACTCCACTTAGATGATGCAAAATCTTAGTTTTATATGTACCTGGAGTTTTTCAAACACAAATGGAGACAGTGACTCTTTAAAATCCATCTGTATTGCCACCCAGTACCAAGCTTGTTATTTGAGAGGTGATAATTTTGTGAGTTGTCATTAAGTGAACCCCAGGTAACTCACTCAGGACATGGGAACAATTTCTCCTGGCGTCGTAAAGTTCCCGTACTTTCACTGGCTAAGACCCTGGCCTTGCAGCTATTCTCCTCTTCCCTTGTTTCCTTCAGCGTTCATCGCCAGGTGGAATCTCTGTGCCATTACATATGTTGTCAGCCAGATTTATTTCAAAACTAGTTTATTACAGTATTTAAGTCTTCGTGTCTAAGAGGTAAATTATAGGAACATAATCTAGCTATATGTACTTTACTTACTAATCAAGCTTTTAATTGGCACTTGTGGGTCAGTAGGTGATGGCATGTTAGGTAATTGAGGGTGAGAAATAACCGTAGTCAGGTATTAGAATGCCGATAATGTGCTTGCTACCTCATTTTTTCCCTCTTCCAAGTCATCTCTGAAACTGACCCTTAAACTCCTTTCTTTGCCATCTTATTCATCAGAATTTTTAATCCTATTCTAAGGTAGTCAAATTCTATAGTATACCACTAATGACACTGGTGATGGCAAGCCTTCTAGAGCTTGCAGTGATAACAAATACCTGACTGAGGCATGCGTGCCATGCGTAGTTTGCCACCACTGCATTACACATTCGTTGTCTCCTTTGCCCTGTGTATGCCTTCAGTATTCTTAGCATGCTACTTCAGAAAGCCAATTCATGTTAGCACCATAGGTGAAATCTAGTTGTCATTTCTGATATAATTGTTTTTCCAACCAGTCTGTTTTGAAGGCTGAAAATATAGGTAGAATAGCAAGTAAAAGTGTTTCTGATAACTAAAAGATAGCAGATCTCTGCCCTTCCCTTGTTCATCTTTTAAAGCTCTTCATGTCATACTTATATCGTTCTACCTGTGCTGTTGTGTTTCTTTCTACTAGTGTGCTTGTACTGGGAAATTAACACATTTGTACTTAGTCCCTCACTACTTTTAGTAGTGAGTGAACAATAGGTCATTGTTCTCAAATATCTGAACCCTGTAGTTGCTTCCCTTAGGAAATTTCTTCTCAGTATAATGAAAGTTAAGTGCGCTACCGAACCTTTTCAGTTATTTTTTTTTTAATGCTCTCTTTCTGAGATTAAGCAATGGCCTCTGTCAACTCAAAAGAGATAGCTTGAAAAAGGGTTAAATAATAATGCAAACAAATACTGCATTTCTTTTTGCCCAAGATAATATGAACTAGGTACTCTTAAGTATTATAGTGGAAAAGATGTGGAAGGACTATTCTTAGAGTATGCCAACCAAATGGCCATTGCTGGATTGTACACCTCCATGACATCATATTTGATCTTGACAGCCACTGTTCAGTTGTAGGTATTTACTGTCTTTGCTTATTTATAAAGAAAATAAGAGGCTGGGGAGATAGCTCCGTGGTTTAAGTGCCTGCCTGGTAAGCACAAGGACCTGAGTTCAGTCCCTGGTACTGCATGCTGTACTGGCCCCGGAACACCCAGGCACTCCACACTGGCCCCAAAACCAGGCATACCTTTAATCCCAGCGCTGGGGAGGCTGAGACAGGAGGGTCACTATGAGTCTGAACTGAATAGTGAGACCCGAGAGAGAGAGAAAGAGAGAGAGAGAGAGAGAGAGAGAGAGAGAATGAGAGAATGAGAGAAAATGGATATAAATAAGGAGCAAAGAGGTAAATAATTTGCTCAAGAAGACACAGCTAATGTTGTAAGGATAGGATTCTACCCCAACTATCTGATTTTATATTGTTTTTCTTCATCCAACATAAGGAAATTTTACCTTTTCTTCAAAATTGACTTCATATTTTAAACCTTTTTTAAAGTATGGGCAATAATGATATACATACATACAAGCCTGTATACATATGCTTTTCTGTGTTTTGTAGGTTATTTGAACCATCTTACTATGATAAAATTAAAGGCTGTTCTCACACAAGTAGGATTTTGGAACCTGTTTTCATGAGAGTAGGACTGACAAGCATTAAATTCTTACTGTATCACTGCTTCACCTTGTGTATTTTTCTTATGATAAATCCCTAACTTCTTCATGGGATTGTAATCTGTAGTTTTTTATTAAGCTACATAGAAATTATAAGATAATCTAAAAATAATTCATACCTTTTATCTATACATTATCTTTACCTTTTTTGTTTGTTTTTTTTTAATTTTTTTTAATTTTATTTATTTATTTGAGAGAGAGAGAGAGA